ACATTTAATAATTGCCAATCTATAAAATGTTTTATAAGGCAAAAAAGGGCTCAAACCAATCACAAATACATCTTCTAATAATATAGTTGTAAACTATCTTTTTAAATTATAACTTTTTGATTAAAAAAACATAATGAAGAAGATCCAATACATTATGCATAATCCTGATCCTGACAGTTGAGTATAAGACAGTACCTTGAGGACTTATTATCGTGGTACCTCGAGTTCTTAATATTGTAGATGAGTAAAACCAAACTAACTCTCCTTTCCGATCTTCTTTCTCCTGGATTTCTGTATTCAGGAAAATGCAACCTCCAGCTGATAGAAGTAAAATCCATACTGTGACTAAGGAATAGCTTTTCTCTGCATAGCTAACTAGCTACTAAAATAGAAACAGAACATGACCTCTTTAACATAATGCTCTAGCAGCCTGACTAGCCAGATCCTATGCTCAGGGCTACCTTAGATGTCTTTATCATCTCTTTAGCGATAATATCTTCCCAGAAATAGAATAGATAAGCCAGTGGTAAAGATGCCCTAACAATTTGTCCCTAATTCAAGTTATTCTTATTCTAGGAGTGGGCACTGCCCTGTCACAGTCCAGTTGCTTGACACTTATTTACAAGCATTCAGCTGCCAACTCCCAGAGGTTGGGGGAGGTTCAGGCTCTGGTAGCCTGAAACATACACTAATCAAATAAGGAAAAGGTTTGACTGTGAATCAGAATATCAATGTCTTAGAGGAAGAATTGACACTTTCTAAAGGAATATATTCCTGGTCATTAAATCTGCCTGCTCTCCTTTGAAAAGGAAGCCTGGTTAGCAGGAACTATAGCATCCTAAATCTCTGTGTTGGGGTTGTTAGCCCATCCAGAAATGGATCGGTGATTTCAATATTATTGTAGGGAGGGCAGGGCTTGGATCACTCAGAGCTAGTGACTCCAACCACAGAAACAATGTGGACCATAAAGGAAAGACACCAAAATCTCTCAGAGTTGACAGGACCCTGAAGGCCCTGGGCTTGTCTAACTTGGGGGCAGCAACCAGAACCACTGAACAATTTGTTTAGTTGCAGAAATGTCTAGTTTCAGTCTAGTGTAACTTTTAAAATAGATTGGCTTAAAAAAATCCCTTATCAGGCTTTCTAAAATTCAATTAGGCTGTAACTAGCAGGTGCTTATATGGTCTGCTAACTGATATAAAAATAAAGATAAGAGCCTGTACTTAACAAGGTAAGAACCTAAGCCTATATGAATATGTACAATACAATTAGACTAAGTTCACAGCAGAGGGGCCCGGCCTGAGCCTCAAGGCTCCAAAAATGTAAGTACAGGGAGGTAGAGGATAAGGAAAAGACTCCGCGGAAAGGGTTTCAAGGTAGCGTGGTTTTGCTGAGAAAAATTGAGGACATTTTAAAAGGGCACGTAAATTTTTAATACAGACCAGATGCAAGAGCCTAGTTGTGAGTCACTCACTTAGCAGAGGTCTCCTCCTCCTCCCCCTCCTCCTCCTTCCCACTTCCCCTCCTCCTCCTCCTTCATCTCTTCTGTGATTGGGTTAATAGGGCTTAGCTAGATGAAGAGGAAATTTTTGTAGGGAGGCATCCCTGTGTTTTGGACGGGGGAGGGCTGTGCTGGAGGGAAAGAAGAGGAGCATCAGTAGGCGGAAGGTTTACACATTCTACCTCAAAGAGGCACTGTATATGCATCTCCCTGTGTACCTGTTGGGGGAGAAACCTGGAAGCAGAGAAATGATGGTGGTCTTCCCCTTGATTTCTTACACTTTGGAAGACTTGTTATTATTCCTGCCCACACTGGGTCTCTTGGGGAGCATCCAAAGGCACAAAATGTCAAATGCCACTCACCCCAGGACAACTGTCTGGGTTCTGTACAATTCACTTTAATGTCAGGCTATGTGGTGAAGATTGTTGCACATGCTCTGATGTGGTAAGATTATGGCTGATGTTGAGCAATCATTACTCAGTCTCATCTTCACTCAACACTCATGAGATGTCCTGAATTGCAGCTAGAGGATGCAAGTAATAAAGGATGAGTAAGTCCCTGACTTGGATCGCCTCTGATTTCTCGTGTATAAAATAAGAAGTTGGGATTCAATGATTTTGCTTTGCTGTGACTCCTGTGCTCACAGAGCTTGTTTGGAACAGGCTACTCTTGTGCTGGCCAGAGGATTGACCACAGGACTGACAGACAGGAAGATGAAGGGAGCCACTTTTCCTCTGCCTCCTGGGATTTAGACTGCATGAAAGATACTTGGGATGCAGTGGCTCTGTGCAAACTAGCAGCCAGGTATTTTCTGGAAGCTTTGGCATAATACAAAGAGACACTGCATGAATTATGTATTAAAATTATTCCTGCCTCATTATGAGGCAGTGCTATGTAGGGGTTTCACTTAATCAGGACTTTCTTGAGCAGATCTTATTTACAATTTCACAACGATTTTATCTCAAGAGACTATAGGGCATATGCTGAATCACTGCAGCTTTTTATCCAAGGTTTTCCTCATTGACCTTTGATTCCCCTCTCCCTGCGCTGTACTTCCGGATTTTTCCACAGAGCCTTTTTTTTGTTGTTGTTTGTTTTTTTAAAAACATTCTTTGCAATGAAAAGAAGTACCTATGCTAGGATCTTTTCAGTACTTGGTGCATCTGTTCCTCTGCATCTGAATCAGAATAAATGTCCATAAAAAGGGGTTCTAAATTATTGGCCAAGAAATTCCTTGTGGTTCAAGGTCCATGAAATTCCTTGTGGTTCAAGGTCCAGTCATGGTGTGTCTTGACATCTTCCTCTATCACCCCCAACATCTCTTTCTAAGATGCTTGCCAATAGGAGGAACTCAACGCCTTTCTTCAAGGGGAACATCTTAGAGGTTTTCATAAGCATGAATTGTGGCTTCAATAGAACTACTGGATTTAGATGAAATCCAGACGGTACCAGGGGCACAAACGGTGGATACAGAAAGATCTGAAGTTCTGAAGGCAGTTTCTTTGAAGTTTAGCATCATAAGGCTTCAAAGTTGGTGGACAAAGAGCCAGTGTAAGGCAAAGACTGGCTTGTGCTTAATGTTGGGTTCAGTCAAGTAATCAGTTCTGAGAAACTCTTCAGTCCCCATTTCACTTCTTTCATGGTCAGAAAGAGAGCTCATGAATTCCAGGCCCTCTGCTCTGTAGATCAACTGCTCTGTCTCTTGGCAGCGTTGACCAGGTGGGTCCACTCTGAAAATATTCCATTGCTAGATGAGAGACTAAGTAGTAAAAGCTAACTATAACATGCCTTTCTACTATAGGAATCGTGGGAAAACATATTTATAAGTTGGAAAAATAGAGAAAAAGTTCACTCTTCACAACTTTGGCCCCAGTGGATTGAACTTGCTTAGATGTATTTTTCACCCATGCTAAGGTCAATCAAACATCATTATTGTTGTAGAGAGCTTTGTGCACCGTATTCCATCAGTTGAATGCCTACCAAGAAGTAACATGTCTCTTTCTGGCCAAAATTTATCATAGTGCCTCCACTGAACACTGGGGTGTTGGAGAGTGCAATTCTGTCCTCAAGGGGAAAGCATGTGAACTTCAGCAAGTACTACTACCAGCTTGCAGAACTGCTCCTTCCATTGGCTAAATCCTGCAGGCTGGGCCACAAGGGCCTGTGCTTTTACCGCTTTAGTGTCGACCAGCACCACCACTGCCGTTTGTGCTCCTGATCCTATTAGCAAGGGCAATGATGGGGGACCGAGCTCACGCATAGATTTGCTTTTCACAGACTTTCACACTTTCCCAAGCTTCTGGGACTAGGAGTGTGTGTGCTTCCCATACACCAGACAGCAGAGGTGCGGAGCCATATTTCCAGGAACCCCGCTAGGCCACTTTGTCTCTTTCCTCATCCCTGGCAATCATTCTCATCTTGGCATCTGTCACTGTCTTCTTTTGCCCATCGCCTTGGTCCACACGGGCCACCAGTGTTGAGTTCAGGTTCTTTCCCAGGAGCTCATCAATATTGGAAAAAGTCGATGAAGTGTCTGATTCCAAGAGACTTCTGGGCCTGCTCAGCTCCCTTGGACTCATTCCACACTTTATTACGTTCATGGTGGTTTGTAGAACTTCCGATCGTATTATATAAAGCTATTAGAATGGAACCCCCAAATCTCTACAATAATTGCGTGAATACCAAGTTTGCATTTGGCCTTTTCACTTTTTTATTTTTATTTATTTTTTGGTCTTTTTTGAGGCAGGGTCTCCCTGTAGGCCCCAGATGGCTTGGCACTCGCCATATAGACCACGCTGGCCTCAATCTCCCAGAGATTCACCTGCCTCTGCCTCCTGATGACTGCCTGGAGTAAAGGCTACAGGCCCGAGCCATGACGCCTGGCTTCTGGAGGGAGATTAAATGGTATTATTGTAGTAATTCCTCGCGTCAACTCTTTTCCAGTCCAGCCTTAGGTGGCTTTCCCAGAGGCGATACAGGCTTAAGGAATATTAAAACCAGGTCAGAGATATGTTTTCTGTGCCCAACCAAGCGAGGCAGGCATGCGGCGGGCAAGACTTGACTCAGACAGGTCTGCGCCACCTCCCCTGGCTTTCCAGCCGCAAGAGGCCGGGCTCGCGACAGGCAAGCGGTGCGGGCGGCGCCGCGGCGGCCACCTGGAGGCGGGCGTCACCTGAGCCGGGTCGCGCTGCCAGCGGCTGCACGGGTCCCGGACCTCCCGCGCCAGAAAGGACCCGAGGCTGCAAAGCGCCCCCGCCTCGGACCCGGGAGGGGCACGCAGCCGGGGGGAGCGAGCCGCCCGCTCACCTGCCCGCAGGCGGCGCCCGGGGCGGGGCTTCCCGCGTCCCCTTTAAGAGGCCGCATCACCCGCCCTGACGTCAGGGTGTCTCTCCGCACAGCCCGCGTCCCGCGCCGCGCCCCCGCGCCCACAGCCCCGGCGGCCGCACGAAGAGCCGCGGCCCGGCGACCCCCCGCGCCCGCAGCGCCTGCCTGAGGCCCCCAGCAGCATGTCGGTGGCCGGGCTGAAGAAGCAGTTCCACAAAGCCACTCAGGTAGGGTGAGCAGGTGCGCCGAGGAGCGGCCCGAGCCGCCCAGCGCACGCCCGGCCTCCTGCCCGCCGGCATCCGCGCTCCCCCGCCGTGGCCGCATCCCGGGCTCGCCACTTCCCAGCTCCAGTCCCCGCCGTCCAGCCCCCTCCCGTCTCCACTCCCTCTCCCCTTTCCCCGTCCCCGTTCCTGGTCCCCGCTTCCGGTCCCCGCTCCTGGTGCCATGTCCCTCTCCCCATTTCTGCTCCCCACTCCCTCTCCCCCTCCCCTCCCCCTCCCATCTCCATCCCAGTTTCCCCATTCTGGGTCCCCTCTCCCTGACCCCCTCCCTTTCCCTCTCTCCATTCTGGGTCCCCTCTTCTCTCCCTCTTCCCCTCCGTCTCTTGCCCCCTCCCCATTCCTGGTCCCCTCCCCTCTTCCTCTTCCCTTCCCATTCCCTCTCCTCTCCCTCTCCTCATTCCTGGTCCCTCTCCTCCCTCTACCCCTTCCCCCTCCCTTTCCCCATTCCTGGTCCCTCTCCTCTCCTCCTCCCCCCACTCCTCCCCCCACTCCTCCCCCTCCCTATTCCTGATCCCCTCTCCCTATCCCCCATGCCGGTTCCCCGCCCCCGAAGAGCCCAGTACCCTGTCCAGTGTCGTCCCGGCACCACCGCTCCAGGCGCCGCAGGGAGGGCCCCGCGCCGGTGCCGGGGAGATTATGTAAAGACGCCTCTCCAGTGACCTTGCGGTGTGGCGATGTGGTGCCCCACTGCCCTGGGATGTGCTGGCCCCGCGGTGTGGAGGTGCCCTCCCCACGCTCCCTCCGCCTCCCAGTCCCTGCTTCCCGGCTCCCTCGGGCTCCCAGGACTGTCAGGATGTGGTTCCTTCAGCTGTGTGCAGAAATGCATTAACTTTTCCCTGGAGAACTCCTAATGCAAACTTTTTTGAGGCTATGGCTTGATCAGTGGTGTGGTGTGCTTGTCTTTAAATTTTCCCATAGGATTTACAACCAGGGCATAACTCAGTTGTCAAAAACTTCGAAATCACCATATTTATTTTT